AGGGTTGAACTCTGCAAGGTTCTACTGCAGGTTCCAGCTGCCCTTCCCCTGAAGATAGTCCAGGTTCTGATGGGACGTGATGATCCCTCCGACTTACCAAGTATGGTGGTCTGGTGCGCCTTTATTGCAGAGATTCTCTTCACTTTTCCAGTGGGCTTCAGTTTTCATCAAGGAGCTTGAGAGAGGCTCTCTTTGTGTTGTTCACTTCTGTTCTACCTTCTGGAGCTCAGGACAATGGCCTTTATGACCCCCTGTGCCTTTGTACTGTGGAACCAGGTAGTGGCACAGCCAGGAGACCAAAGGCGAGGCGAGGTGGGGTGGGGGAGGGCAGGTTGTGTGCTGCAGGAGCCCGTGGCTAATCTGGTCCCTGAGGGGCTGGGCCCGAGAAGGTGGGGTCCAGGCTCAGGAGGGAGGGAGCCTGGCTCCAAGAGGCCAAGGTCCTCACTGTCCGCTGGCTCAAATTGTGGTTTTTAAAGCACATTTAAATGCAATTTAAACTCATCTAATTATTGACAAATTATTGGGCTATACATGTGTAACAATGTTTGTCTACGACTATGTTTTTGAGTCTCTAAAGTCGTTTTTACATATTTGAGGTAGAGAGCAAGATGTTCCATTTGATACAAGAGGAAAATATTAAAACTTCTTTTGAACTTCTTTTTATCTCAAAAGTGAGCAATTATAATCTAACACTATGAGTTAATAGATTTAAATGTGTTGACTAATTTAAAATATGCATAAGTTGAGGGTGTTTGCCTCCCTTAATTTTTTTCTGATGGGTATATGCAATATCAATGGTTTGTTGAATGGGACTCGTAGAATTGTTAGGCTTACTATATTAAAGTATGCTGACAAAGTAAAAATTTGAAGTTGTATTTTTTTTCCTATAAATGTTCTGGATTTTAAAATAGCACTCTTTTGATGTCTTAAGAGATCCTAAAGAAGAAAAATAAAGTGCATCTTGTAGTTAGGAACAAGTATTAGTCACAATCTGTAGTCTTACACATAGATAGGACATATATGATCATTTTCTAATGTTTGCTATATCGTTATTTCAAATTTTCATGTTTGATACTCTTTGTTTCTCTGTGACTTATTGGGTCCTCCTGCACATCACATTCACATCTTCTTGGGCTCATCTTTTGTTCCAGCCACTGCTTCTGGAGTGAATTCTACTCAAACTTTGACTGGTGCCACCCAAGTATAAGTCGACAGTGTTCCTGCCTTGAGGCTGCACATGGATCTCATGTTTTCTGTTCCCTGGGGCTTCTCTGGTCCTTAAGGGAAACATAAAGCACTCAATGTTTGCCCCTTGGAAATGTAGGGAACTTCAAAGCTGTGGGCCCATCCTTTACCAATGCAGGGTCATTGGTCAGTGAATGAGTAACTCTGAACTAATGGGTGAAAAGTATTGATAAGTATTCATAAGACTTCTCAGGACGTTATGTGATTCAGAACCAGTTCTGAGAAATGACTTAATAATGCATTATTACTCCTCTCTATGCCCCTGTCCTTATTCGTGACTTGTACTACTTGTCAACCCATTCCCAAATGGATTTCTTTTATTTATGTCTATGCTTCGTGTTCTGTTTTCAGGGGAACCTTGGGAAAAATAAATAGTATTGGAATTAAATATTGGAAAGCAGACTATTTGATTGGGTTGGAAGTCATTTTTTATCACTGTGGCAAAATACCTGAAACAATTAACTTAGAAGGAGAAAAGCTTTACTTTGTTTTAACAGTTTCAGAGGTTTCAGCCCATGCTCACTTGGTTTCTGCCTTGTGGTAAGGCAGAACATCATGATTAGGAGCACTTGGTGGTGCACAGTTGCTTACCTCATAGCAGTTGGAAAGTAAAATGAGAGTGAAGAAGGGGTCAGTGCTCCACCATGCCCTTCAAGAGCATAACCCCAGTGACCTATTGTCTTGAACTAGGCTCCACCTCCTAAAATTTCCACCAATTCCCAACAGCCCCACCAGCTAGGCACTACACCTTCAACACATGAGGTTTTGGGGGACATTTAAGATCTAAAACATAACAAATGAGATTTTAGAACTGATGGTTCATCATTCAAATAGCAATAAAGACCCCAGCTCTGGTGTGAAATGGGGAGGTGATAAGCAGCAGCATGTAATTAATAAGGTTCCCACATGAGGTTATTTGGGCAGAGATACAGGTGGAATCATTGTTATAATTGAATTGCAAGGTGGCAATGGTAATCACAAGGATTGTGAAATGACTAGATTTTTATTAATTTCTGTTAATGCTTTGAAATAAAAAAAATGGCTCAGCCAAAATCAACTCAAGTAGCACCATAGATACCAGTGGCCTCTACTGGCATTTGAGGATACCATTTTCTGCAACTGCAGGAGAGTCTGTGTTGAGAGTCTGTGGTGAATGTCAGGCCAAGAATCAAATTGTAAGAGGGACACAGCTGCAAAGAAGACTGTAGTCACAGCCTCTTTGGGTTTCCTAGGTCTGGGCCCTGGGAGAAAACAGTGGAACCCTGAACTCTCCATATGGATATTTGGGTGAATAAGTCTGAAAATCTTGAAGTTTCAGTTTTCCCTGAATTCTCCACACTGGTACAAGAAGGCACATTCTCCTTCCTAATAGAGACCATCCCATGCTTGTTGGGGGTCCTTACAAAGATCCAGAGAGTCATATACAATGAAGGAAATTCACAAGATGATGTTTGCTCTCCCTCAGACCTATTGTGCCACCATTCATTATTTCCTCACCAGTAACTCTGGTAAGGTTTCAGAACATCCAAAGAAATATAACTCTTTCTTCAGGAGGAAATGGTTTATACAAATTTCAGGTCCCAAGTTACATACAGCAAAAGAACCAGAGGAACACATGTAGGAGTGGATTTTGAGAGTGTTGATTGGTAGGGGGAATACAATGAAGGTGGGTAGGGAAAATTTTATTGACAGCAATACATACTCAGGCATAATTTGGAATTTAACCCCTATTGAGGACACCTGAAGCTGGTAATAAACTTCAGCTGGAGTGTTTCTTTGAAGCCTGTGATGTGGTGGTAGCCAATAGGAAAATGAGGCAGAGATGCTAAGATTACTTTGGCCTAGAATTAAGGAAGACATGAGAAGTCTCATAAAAGAAGGGAATGTTAGAGTGGATTTGTTATGTGATATCTAGAAACTAACATCTGACTCTGATCCCTTGGAGGATCCAAAAAAATCCCTTTAAGGCAGATAAACTACTTATGAGGGAGATGTCAGCGTCTTTGTAAAACTTGATGTCTGTGACAGTTTTTTTTTTTTGGTACTGGGAATCGAACTCAGGACCTTAGGCTTGCAAGGCAGGTGGTGGCTCCCCTGTGCTAAATGCCTGGCCCACAGGTGACAGTTTTTAACAGGAGACACTGCAAAGGAACGAGTATCAGTGAGATAATGGGATTTCTAAATGACTGTATTTGCAGCCATACTGAACTTCCAGAGACAAAAGAATTGCAATTACTACTGAAATGGGAAGAAGTCTATCATAGCAGTCAGACTACCCTGATGTTCAGGAATCCATGGCAATCACTAATACATTATGATGTTTTAAATCATGAGATCTATGGATGGTTGGGTGATTACTTGTGTGTATATAAAACAAACAAGATTTGGTGAACAGAATACTAACATCAGCTATCACAATGGAAGATCCAGATCCTGTACCCAGGATAGATATGTTGACAAAGACTCAGGATATAGATTTGTATAATTTCATAGACCCAGATCTTGTTGGTTAGAAGGGAGGGTGCATGCCCTTGAGTAATGACCCTGCTAATTACAAGAATAATTGTCAACCTTCTCCCTATCTATTACAAAAGGATGTATGGATAACCAAAATAATACTACCTGAGGAAAAGGTAGTAGTTCGACTTTTTGAAGACTGTTGGATAATGGATATGAGTAGACACTAATACCTGGAGACATGAAAAGCCACCATGGTTCTCTAGTTAGGGTGAGGGATGTTGAGAATAAGTAAAAGTTGAGTTCTAGACCAACTATATCTCATAGGGCCTGCGATGGATCTGTGGCCCTCTTATTGTTTTCCTAAAGTCTAAATGAATAATCAGGATGTATAAAATTACAAAATACTTTGTAATTGAAAAAAATCTCCTTTATTCCTAGATCTGTGGAGCTGCTGTGAGAGGAAGGGCTAAATGGAGGGCCCTGAAAATGCCCCACCACCATTCTAGTGAGTGGTGTTTTTGTGGTAGGTGATGACATTGAATGGACAGTTACAGCAACTATCACCTGAGAAGAGCAAAGCAAACCTAGAGAAAGAAGGTCTGGGTCACTACAGCAGGTAAGAAACCTTACTTAGATCAGCTGAGGTGTTGGCCAAGGGTGAGAAAAATCAGAATGAGTAGTGCAAGAAAGAGATTATGATGATGATCAATAAAGTTTTAGAATCAGCTGAAACAGCAAGGGATGGTAGCTAACGCCATATCTTGCAGGACACAGCTGTTATCATTTGAGAATGCATTCTTGTTTCTGCTTGTCTTTCCTCCCTGTTTTTACTCTCTGCATTCATTATTTCTGTTTTCTAGGATCATATTCTCAGGTAAATTGAATGTGGGAGTGCCTTTTTGGATAAAATTCAGGCCTAGACAGAATATTGTTAACTAAATTGAAATAAATATAAGTAATTCAGGTCTTAATGTAAAATTATGCTTCATAGTTCACATATATAGAGATTTAGGAGAGTGATCATTTTATAAATTAATACAATTTTTCAACTTATCTTTATTCTTTATTCATTTTACATTTGGGAACTGGTAGCGATAGTAAGTAGCAAGTTGCTATATCACTAAAATGTTCATTCTTTTATGTGAAGTGCACACATATTTAGAGATTTATATGCTGAATAACAAGAGAGCTTCTTTTACACTTTAAAATAGCATGAAATTACCCAACATTATTTCTATATTATTGAATAATTGGTTTATTACATTCTCAAGGTAAACAAATAACAAAAAGAAGGGAAAGATTCTTCAATAACAAAGTAAATGAAATTTGTAGTATTTTTGTTGGTATTTCCAACGTCAGTTTACACTTTGACCATCAGAGGTCATGAAAGGACAATGTAGAGCAGAAAATTGGAGCTTTGTTGAGCTAAGTTTGAACTGTGAACTGTAACTTATTTGTAGAAGGCTTTTTATTTGTTTATTTTTGGCTTTTTAAAAAGAAAATTTATGACTGATATATTGTAATTTGTAAATCAAAAAATAATTTGTAGGAATAAGATAATATGATGGATTGCAAGAACATCAGGCTATTTGACTTTGGTGCTCTCAGTTTTTAAGAATAAAATTTAAAATGCAAAGTATTAATGACATTTGGATTGGAAATATAAATATATGTTTAATTTCAGTTAGTTTTATAGAGCCTATAATTGACAAAAGTATTCTTTATTAAAAGAAGGAAAATAAGTGAAGTTAAATTTAGAAGTGTCTTGGGATATATTTTTTAGGGAACATAGCAGATACTTCATAAAGCATAGAGTGTGTCTCCAATATCTATCAATAGGTATTTTGCTTGTCATAAGTAATATGTATTGATTTTAAACTTTTCTTGCTCTTGGTAAATTACCTGAAATGAAAAATATCCCGATAAATTAAAATAATTTACATTTTTTTTTTTTTTGGGTACCGGGGATCAAACTTGGGACATTGCGCTTGCAAAGCAGGCAGTGGAACCACTGAGCTAAATCCCCAGCCCCAATAATTTACATTTTGTATTAAGAACACAAAGTGATCCATTGTCAATACTCTTTTTTATACAATAATTTAAAAACTTATAAAATGATCGTTAATATTTTTTCATTAGCATAGCTAGGATTTCAAAAATACTGTGGAACAGGAATAAGTGAGTCACAAAGAGACAAATAATGTATGATTGTTGTATGAGATAGTTGGAATACTGAAATTTATAGAGACAGAGAGTAGAATAGTGGTTGCTGGAGGCCTAGGGATAAGGGAGAATGGGGAGTTATTTAATGAGCACTGATTTTCAGTTTTGTAAGATGAAAAGATTCCTGGAGATTAGTTGCATAGCCATATGAATGTACTTAACAGTACTTAAGTGGGTAAATAAAAAGTGACTTACCTGGTAAACTTTCTGTTATATGTTCTTTATGAAAATTTTTTTAAAATGAAGAGTTTAACATATTCATGAGTTGACATTGGACAACCAGAATCCTTCCCAGTGAGTTGAAGTGCAATGTTTTCAGCACTTGTGATCTGCCTGTGTCACCTACCAATAGCACTGGGTAAGGCCAGCTGAGCTCTGCCCAGCCCACAGAGATACCAGGGGATCAAAAGAACCCTGGTAGAGCTTGGACCTAGCCAACAGAAATTTCAATTTGACTTATGCAAAACATATAGAATAAAATGTGACAGCATTCATCTCAAACTCCTCATTGATTCAATGGGGGCAATAACATCAACATCATTGTGTTGTGATGTCTAAATGAATTAAGACACAGAAAAATTGGAATAGTGCCTTGTACACAATGTCCTGTACGCAATGGTTATTGTACTGTTGTTTTTCTTTGTGAAGCACATCCTCTACCATATGTGGTAAACAATAATTCAATATCTATTACCATTAATATCATATTTATCGTGTACTTTTCTTCCAGTATGGGGAATATAAAAAGACATTTTTTTGTTTTTATTATGGAGCCTCGGAAGGCACTGCTGGTATTAAAAGGGCTTAAAAATAATAAAAGGTGCCAGGGATTTAGCTGAGTGGTTCCACCGCCTGCCTCGCAAGCACAAGGTCCCAAGTTCCATCCCTGGTAGAAAAAAAATAATAATAAAAGGATAACTCTGCAACTAAGTAGGGGAATTTGTTTCCATGGACTATTTGTTTAAAAGTCAAAACTCAGCTGGGGACATTGGCACACCCTTGTAATCCCTGCATTCTGAGAGTCTGAGGCAGGAGGATCATAAATTTGGGCCCAGCCCGGCAACTTACTGATTTAGAAAGACCCTATCTCAAAATTTTAAAAAAATTTAAAAGGGCTGGGTATATAGGGTAGCTCATTCAGTCCCCAGTACCTTATAATTATCCCTACCTTCAATTCTGTGTTCTTTTTTGAGTTAGTTTTATTTTAGAAGGTCTGCTCTCTGATCTGGGGGCTCTCAGGTTTTATAAGCCTCCACACTGATCCTAAGTACAACCTGCTCCTATCCAAAATCACTCTCTTCACATGCACTGACCAATCAGGTATAATGGGGGTAGGGGACTGATAAGTTCCTATCAGGACCTGGAATTTGAGAAATTCTCACCAGAAATTTTATTATTTAATTCATCCTCCTTTCTTAGTAGTAATAAATATTCTAAAGTAATTCTTTGTATATTTTAAAAAGGAGCTTTGAACCTGTGTTACACATAATTCATTAGTGTTTTAGGATTCTATCAATTTTTATGTGAAATGTCATTTAGACATGAAAACAGATTCAGATACCTGTATACATACATACGTACATACATATATATATATATATATATATACATGTTTACTGTTAGCTGAAAAATATTTTACTTAATTTTTTGTTTGTAGTTATGCAGTCAATTTTTATTTATTTAATTTATTTTTTATTACTACATGTTTATAGTATGTAGTAACTACATTCTTCGTGTAAAGCTGGTAGGTGTACAATACACATCTTAATTCTTTTTATCCCCTTCCCACTCTCTCCCCTCCCTCCCCCTCTTTCCATTTCTTGGGCCCCTTCCCTTTTTCAAAAGTTCTATCTCCCTGGCTGGGCATGATGGTGCATGCCTGTAATCTTAGCACTCAGGAGGCTGAGGCAGGGGGACTGCCATGAGTTTGAGGCTAGCCTGGGCTACATAATGAGTTCCAGGCCAGCCTGAACTATGTAGTGAGACCCTGTCTTTAAAAAAAAATTCTAAAATTCTCTCTCCCCATTTCCTATTATCTTTTATTTTGCTCTTTAATTTATTTATACTTTGGGTTTTTCATATAAGAGAAACCAGGCAATATTTAAGCTTGTGTGTCTAATTTATTTTGATTTATTCACTTAACATTATGGTTTCAGGGTGCATCTATTTTCCTACAAATGACACAAATTGTCAGTTTTAACAGGACAAACACAAATTAATATTTGATATGAAATGGGAAACATTTTGATTTTTTCATGAAATCTTTCTTTGAATAATTCCTTTATTAAGAAAGTCAAGGTACACATACATTTTCTAGTCACCATATAAATCTCATTGATGAAAAAACAAGATTTCTTTGAAAGAAAAAGAAACTATAAGGAGACTTCCTACAATTCTACCCGACCTTTCACCAATGCTTCTAACAAGTTCCAAAATGAATTCCAACTCCATCCTTTCCCTTGTTTGCCATATGCCATCTGGTTCTAAGGGTGAGCACCAAAGGAAGAAAAATCCTGAATAATCCATCACCTGCATTATTTCACATCCAATAATCAGCAATATTGAGAGTAGCATTTGTTCTGTAACACTACGGCCTTGTTAAAGGAATGCATTTAACTTTGAGAAAGCTGAAGATGGAACAAAACTAATGATTTTCTTGTCTGTTGGTCTAATTTTATTATTCATAGATTGACTTATAAATTAAAACTTGTGTGTTAATACATCTTGAATGTTTGTCATATGTATAGAATGATGTTTTTCTTTCTTTTTCTGGCTGCCACCACCTTCAAACCTACCCCCGTGTCTTAGGTAAAGACATTGTTCTTTGAGCACAGGCAAACAAGTTCTTATCAAGCAAGTGTAACTACATTTTGATTCATTACTACTTCTTTTAGTTTCAGTGGTAGTGATGATGACCAAATGTCTAAGGTAATACAATAACAGTCATGGAAGTTATAGAATCTTCTCCATGTATACATAAGTTGCTCATAATTTCTTGCTGCCCAGGATCTAGTCATTGGCTGAATAAATTGATTCTTTTGATCTGGATAAAATTATTTCATTTTGAGTCTTAATCCTGAAGAATTTGGGAGAATTAAAAAATCTTGACTAATTGTGTATTGCTCTAGAATAGGGTCTTTTAGAATGGAGTGAAGATGACTATTGATGATGACCTTCAGGATAAGGTACTTGTCCTCAGGTCTTTGGGAAGCCTGAAGAAGCCTTGCTCTTTTTACCACAGTTTTCTTGTAAGTTAATGTAAATTGACATAAAGTAACTTTCATTAGCAATTTCATTTTCTTCTTATCACAATCAATGCATTTAGGCTACGTACTTACTCTAAAAAGGTATTTTACAATACATAGGTAAAGGTGTATGATTTATGTACTCCTC